CTGATGTTTCCAATGTTTTGAGTAGGATGTTGTGTGTAATGGTCAATGGAGTTCATCTGCCCTCACAGACAACACTGAGCGACACCTGTCTGTACACGGAAATCATGTTATCACACCCTATGCTAATGTAGGGCTGAAAAAAAATAAATGTTTGGCTCTCCAGTAACAACTCTGTTGCTTCACATGTATTTCAGTGACATTGCAGAGGCTGATGGGGAAGTAATGACCAAATTCTGCTGGCATTCGTTGAAACCCTATAGGTATGATGGTGACAAACCTAGAACCATTATCAGGGCGAATCTGGGATTCAAACCCATGACAGACTCCTGCCACACCAAAGGGACACAACTCTGAAAATCAAATTGTGGTGTCTTTGAGAACAGGGCCCCAACAGGGGACAAAGCATCGATGCAATGATCCAAGAAGTTCCTTAGTCAGCTTTTGCATTGACTCCTTTCTTGTTTCCCGTGACGACAGCTTTGTGTCCTCCAGAGTCTTCTCCCTTTGTGATGACTTTGTCGATGTGTCACTACACACCATTCAACTCTTCTTTTAGCATTTCATCACATTGCGAAATCACCAACAAAGCAATTTTAACAATACTACCTCTGTCATGCATGCCACCATTAAAGTATGTTTTTGGAACAACATAAAACCGTCCAATTTCGTGAACAAACTACAAACCAATGTCCTCTGAGTACAAATATTGCTTTTTATTTAAATGTTAGCAATAATACATGCAGTAGTTATCTTTTGTATATAAATATATTTCAAAATATGTCTGACATTTTTCTCAGTTTGTAACACAACTTGATATGCTCTGTCATTTACAGCATAGGAGAGTGAAGAAAGGGGGATAACTCTGGTCAGGATTGCGTAAGCCTTGTTGAACCCAACATGCATGAAACATCAGGCAAAACATGCAGTTGACTGTGATACTGACACACTCACGAGCAAATTATTTCACAGCAAAACAGACATACAACGAAACTGAAGTAATTTTCTCATGTGATATCTTGAAAATAATCCATTCTGATTAGTGTTTATGTGCATGTGACGTGCTAGTGAGCAAAGCTTGATTGACAGAGTGCCACAGATCAAGAAGATACATGCAAGAATATCCAAAGTTGGAAATGGAGCATAACATAACTTAAAATTTTAATACTGTTAAGAATCATTTCTAAAAAGAAAGGTGTAATACTGTTTCTTATTTCAAAACAATATTTGAGTACATGCTCCATTTTTCAACATTGTTTCCAAATTACAAAATTGTCCATTTTTACAGAGCAGGACAGATATTCAGGATGTGAGTGAACTGAAAAGTAAGCAGGCTTTGTGATATCATATCTTTGGTGTGGTTATTACATGCAGTTAGGAGTGAGTGAGTTGGGTTTTACGCCGCTTTTAGCAATATTCCAGCAATATCAAAGCGGGCGACGCCAGAAATGGGCTTCACACATTGTACCCATGTGGGGAATCAAACCTGGGTCTTCGGCGTGACGAGCAAACGCTTTAACCACTAGGCTACCCCACCGCTCCACATGGAGTTAGGAAGAGTTAACAGTGTTAAGGACAGTGAGTTGAGAAGCCAAAGAATGACCCTTTTAAATGCTGTAAATGGCATGCTTTCCATTGTCAAATATGGGTTTAGTAAAGGATGTTACCAAGGAGATGCATTGATGAGGAGTTTGGTTATAAAGTTAGGTTCTAAACTATCAACCAGAGTAGTTTGTCAGTATGTTATTATGATGACAGCACACTAGGAAATAATTAATAGAACACAGAAAACCAGAAAAATCGAATCAAATACAGCATCATGACATGTTCATTACCATAGCAACATTCACCATGGTAACAAGTTGTCATGGCGACATGTTTTTGAAACCATGGTAACATGCATGACAAAACGCAAACCTGACCAATGAGGGCCCTCCCCCATCACCCCACTATGGGGTATTCCAGTAACAAAATTACAAAACTGTTAAAACAATTTACATATGAGCTGAAGTGGGGAACATTTCAAACACTTAATTCAGAGACTACACTTTACTAAGACTACGATGCTAACATCAACTTGTAGAACAGATATACTTAATAGTGCCAAGTTAATCTGAATAACTTGCTGGCATTAAGTAAAATCTTTATGAAATCAAAATGTTAGCTTGTATTAAGTACACAGAATCAGTCTCTCCTTAGGGTTTGAAGTATTCCCCACTGAATTAAGATTTTAACATCAGCATAGTTTACAAGAATACTCTAATGTACTCAATACTAACATCAGCATAGGTGTCAATAATTAACTGGCTGGTAATATTTGTCAATAAGATCTATATACACAATTGTATTGCAAAGTTGATTTGCTAATCAAATTAAAATTAAAAAGTGACCTAAGTCAAGTTGTGATCAGACATCTGTCTTGTAGTCGTTAAGTGATAAGACATTAGACCAATATCAGCAGTTGTTGGACGAGTGGCTGTGAAACAGGTCACAATCCCCTCACACCAGCAGTACCCTGTCAATACTACCGCTATCTTTCAGCCATGTTCAAACACCTGATTTCTCCAATCATATTGTAACATTCAGGGTTATAGTTTGAACCAAAGCAGTTATCTCCCTTTCTATGCTACAATAACATTAGAATGAGAAATTTGATTGACCTGTTTGCACAAGAATAATTTTTAATGAGTAAAATAATACAAAAGTGATACAAGCCTGAGAATATCTCAATACTCAACAGAAAATACCTGAAAGGGACAACTAGAAGCTGAGCCAAAATATGTCTACGATTACAGTTATAGCCATACACGGTGTAAACTTGCCATAGCAACTCAGTCTTGTCCAGTCATAGTTTCACATTCGGATACAAATGTTTACATCACTCTAAGTACATGTACAATGGTTTCAGAAATACAATGAATGATAAATTTCCAATAATCATAACAAATATTACCATTATCAATCAGTCCGGTAATAATGCTGACCATTACATGAGGCTAATAACACCTATATCGCCCTTACTGGGGATTACGGGTTATTACTGTTACAGGTTCATGGGTATTATGCTGCTATTTGATAACTGAAATCCTTAACTCAATCCAACATTTTCAGCATATTAACAGTTCGCACCTTTTTTGCCATTTTTTTTAAACACAAAAAGAGTAATCAAATGTTGATTTCATTGGTATTATGCAAGAGTCCTGACGAACACAAACATTATCCTTTTCAGAATATAAAGCACAGCTGGTGCTACTTCACTACTGCTTCTTCCAAAACCACAAACCAAAATTTACAATTTTTTACAAATCAACCAAATCGAAGTATGTACATTTATTTTTCACTTCTTGGAGGTAGGTGATTTTAAAAGCAACTCATAGTCAAACATTCTTTGACATTATATATATATCTATATATAGAAACCAATGTTCACCACTGCCATTTAACTATACAAAACACCGCTGCAAAACACTTGGCTAAACTTCCTTAAACACTTACATACCACCATGAGAAACAAAGGTAAACTTATTGAAATGTCACTGGAGTAAGTGAACTTCTTTCCAATCAGCATACTATCATTATAGTTTGATTCTAATACTTGAGAATAATGCTTGAATTAATTTATTCCAACACCAATTCGTGTCAAACGTTTCACCAGATGGGTTCCAAACTTAATTCAATTCTAATGTCTGATCTAATCCATGATCTATTTTGAATGAATTAAGTTTTAAATTAAAACATACCTAACTGATAAAATAAAATTTATACAAAGGTTAATAATAAATTCAATCTTCTTTCAGTACACCTAAGGCCACATCATAAAGTTGCATTAGAAACAAATATGTACAGATCAGTTCTTGTTTTGTTGTGAGCAAAATGCTCAATTATAACAAGAGGCAATTTTCAGCTGCATGCGAAGCAAATATAAACAGTACAATTATCCAATTCTAAAATCATCAAAAAAATGTTTCCAGAATATACAAATATAATATACATACATATATATATATAATTCATACTGGTGTTGCTTTTACCTACAAGTCTCAAACTATAATACTTCATGTGCAAAAGGGAAAGTAGTTATCTCCCCTGGCATGTTAGAGTTACCTCCCTTTCAATGACTACCTGTTCAAGCATTAAGGAAATAGAACTCGTTGTGTAATATAAAATCAAGTTTTTGTAATGGTATTCTAAAAGGGAAGCAACTCTTAATAACCAGTTTCAATGTTTGTATAACACACTTTTTTTGCTAACTGAAACTATAACTTTGTATTATGAATACATATATTTAATGAAGAATGATATGAACATAATGACACTGCCAATGAAATATATATTAAACTTTCATTCCCCCCTCCCTTATAGTTGCATAGATTGGGAAAAAAGAAACAAAACACAACTGACTTCATATTATGACAAATCAAACAGCTTGATACACATACCCTAACTTGGCATTACACTTAGCTCCCTTTCACAAAGCAATTACAGCACGACAACAGTCGGAACTCTCAGAGGAGGAATGGTTCGATAACCCTTTTAGCAGGGACACTTGAAATTAGCTTCACACATTGTACCCATCTTTGGAATCAAACCCTGTATTCGTAGTTGCTGTAACAACTGGGCTACTCCGCTTCTCACACGTGATTAATTCATGAAGTTACCACAGTCATGGTGCTTCTGTTTATTTGTAAAAACAAACTCTTCTTCCGCCCCTACTCCCTACATTGCACATCGACTAAAACCCAGGAACACAGAATGATGGGTATTATTGTAACAAGCCTATCTTCAATGAAATTGTTGGGGTTTTTTTCTGCCAAATGAAGCTGCACAGAAGTCTATGTACAATTTCGCCGACTGGACGATAGATAACTTGGCATTTTGCAACAAAACTGAGAATACAGGTTTATTTTCCTAATAACTTTGCCTATTTTGTTTGTATTTATGATCTGGTATCAGAACACATAAAGACCACACACTGTGACGACCCTAGAAGTATTTAAATTCACCTCTGTGGGGTGGTCTGTTCCTGCTTATATCAGGGGCTGGAGGTGGCACAGGGGGCGCTGGCGGCTGGTCTTTAGGAAGGAAGCTGTTGTAGTTGCCACTATTTCGATCGCGTCCCAATTCCTGAAAAAGGTAGACATATTTTTATTCCACTAAGAACAATACGCTTTTCTCAGATTTATTCAACGTGCATATAACTTCTAAATAATTCATATAGACATATATGTAATGCATTAACCCTATAAAACTAAAAACAATCAAGTGAAATATACTTTCAGGTGCACTATTTAAATTTTTGAACTAGGAAACAAATTAAACAGAAATATGAAAACATCCATTCTGCAAGAGTGATTGGGTAGGTTTGTGAGTGCATGTGAGTAAGTAAGTGAGTGAATTGGGTTTTACACCGCTTTTAGCAATATTCCAGCAATATCACGGCAAGGGGGCACCAGAAATGGGCTTCACACATTGTACCCATGTGGGGAATCGAACCCAGGCCTTCGGAGTGATGAGCGACACTTGAACCACTAGGCTACCTTGAGTGAATGTAAGAATGGGGCATGTATGCAAGAGTCAGCAATACCAATATATTGAGTGAGCGGTTAACACATCTTTGAACAGTTAGTGAGTTATACAACATGCCCATGTTGGAAACCAGTTAGCCTATAACTGACAAATCCAGGAACAATCGGTGCAAATCAGGATTCAAACCCACAATCACACCCAACTGTTTCAACTCTACAAAACTGGGCCATCACTGCCCCTCATTCAGACAAGTGAGTGAGTTTAGATTTATGACGCTTTAAGCAATATTCCAGCAATATCACGGCAGGGGCACCAGAAATGGCCTTCACACATTGTACCCATGTGGGGAATCGAACCTGGGTCTTCAGCGTGACGAGTGGACGCTTAAACCACTAGGCTACCCCACCACACCTCAGACCAATGTTTGATACGAGTAAGATGTGTTCTGTCCAAGCACCATGATCTGGTAAGTCACTAAAAGAGTTGTCTCCCTTGGTCATCACTGACCAAGTACGACTACAATCATTATGACTAGTGATCCCTATTCACCTGTTCAATACAAACATATTGTACAAGTCCTGTTTGGGTCGGACTCCATACATGCTATCTAACAAGACCATATTTGTTAATTCTTCGCTTCCACAAGGGGTTAAACCAAATAATAACCGTCAACACACCATGCAAGATATTGATGTTACACCCATCACCAGGTTAGACAAATTTGGTTAAAAAAGAAGTCATGTCTTACTATTCAGATGAAAAGTATTTCACAAATCAAAACAAAATTTTGAAGGACAACTTGTCCAAGATCATAGTCACACACAATAATTACTGAACAGTCCACTCGTGAGTTTGAAAGGGTTAACCCTTTATCATGAACATGCACAATAATATAATTCTAACCAGGATTTAAATGAAATTTGGCACTCGATATGAATTAAATATCATCAAATATCTTGATATGAATCAAAGTCAGAGAGCTTGAGATGAAAGTGTGTATACAGAAATAGTACAGAAGATACACGAATGAATAGAGACGTTGTATATTTGAAGTTAATAGCCTGGTGATGAGTGTTCCGTATACAATATACTCCACCAACACAAAACTGTAGGACACTAGTAACTGACCATTCTATATTCCTTGAACATGAAAATACATATAACCAAGGGCAACAACTGCTCTTTAAAAAAATAATAACTCCCCCCACCCCCCCAAAAATATTAAAAAAATAAATAAAAAACAATTTAAAAAAAAAAAGAAGCCTGAGTTAAATGCCACACCAGAATTATTAAAAGGTGGTTCCATTGTAAAAATGTAAAAATAAATAGCTCGTAACAAGAATATCCTTCCCATCAGGTTTTGTGTTCTTCAGATATGCTAAAAATCCCATATCATCCATCTACCATAATTCATGGAAGACACGCTGTGAAGGATCAATGTAATTCTGATGTCTCACAAAGATTCATTCTGCTGTAGTAACTTTCCAGGAATAACACATTATGGAAACCAGACATAGGCTACACCAGATGTATCATTATCTGGAAATAATCTCTGGATAACCAACTATTTTATCACATGCCCGCTCAGCTCTCTAATTGTTGGCTGGCACTCTAGAAGTTGGTCGGTCAATAATAAGCCTATGACTCCTCGACCCCCTTACTCGGAACAATGACGCTGGTAAATGCTCAAACAGAAGTTAAATACATAAACAGACCAAGTGCCATGGTAAAAATGTTTCAGAAAATTCTATTTTCGAAAGATGTACTTATTATTTATTAATTAGTACATTCTTGAGTACAGTACAATGAGTACATAGGCTGATATTAACAGTATCCCAAACCAAGGAGTGATACATTTGAATAACAACAAATAGTTGCCATGACTACTGTGACACGATGTTCGACACAAGACATGGTAGTAGGCCAGAAAACACTTTATTCCAACAACACTCCTCATGCTGTTATTATCTGATCGAAACATCCGACAACTTCTTTCTTGTTGAGGCACAAACAGTCGAAAACAAAAGAAAATTTGACCGAAAATCTGGTGTAAAAATTGTGAAATGGCATTCAATTAATGACGTTGTGGTTCTGGACATATTTCTTTGCATGGATTCTTTTAAAAATGAAGTAAATTGCTAGAGAGATTTTAAAAAACCTAAACTGACACACTCACACACAGACACACCTAACACAGACACATTATGCATAGACACCCATGACACGCATATGCACGCACGCAAACACAGATGCACAGATAACTATAATATACCCAGACATGGACACACACATACAGATTGACACACACGCACGCACGCACGCACAAAACAGGCATGCACAGAGGTCCACCAACACTGAAATATTTTCCCTCCAGAACCAACATATATCTGGTCATCAGAACCACAGCAACATTAATGCCTTTTCAAAATGTTTTTAAATTCTTTAAAATTTCCTCCTCTGAAAGAAGTTGTACAGCAAGTATGATGTAAGACAAAGACGAGAGATGGATGATGTGGAGTAGGCACATTCAGGGTGTTAATATGGCAAGCTTATAACATACTCCAACTGGCTACCTACGGAATCAATGCTGCGCAACTAATTGCGGGGAACCTGAATAAAAGACACAGTCACATGACCAAGATGACAGACGTGATTGGTTGAAGGTCTTATCTATCACTTTTGTCAAAAAATGAAATGAAAAATATGAGCTCCTTCTATACAGCATTTCTCGTTTTTTGACCAATATTCTGATCTGTAATTATAGTCCGTTTGGCTCAAAAGCGGACTGATGAATTGCAATCTAACTTGAAAACTAATAAACATATAATACTCAATGAAACGCTGATCATAATCAAAACATCAGACCTACTCTGTGATTTGTTTGCAGAATTTATGTTCTAAAATTAAAAAAAGTTGTTTAACAAACTATCATTAAAATTTGAAACAGTTCACCATTTGTTACGAGGGAGGAGTGCAGAGAAAGGGACAGCCAGGTGTTAGAGAATCACGTGCACAAGTGCCGACAACATTATTGATTCATTAACTTGTGCTGTGCCGTCTCCATCCTTTCTCGCACACCTGGCTGTCCCTTTCTCTGCACTCGTCCTTCGTAACAAATAGTGAATTGTGTCGATATTTTAATGATAGTTTGTTAAACAACTTTTTTATTTTTAGGACATAAATTCTGCAAACAAATCACAGAGTAGGTCTGATGTTTTGATTATGATCAGCGTTTCATTGAGTATTATATGTTTATTAGTTTTCGAGTTAGATTGCAATTCATCGGTCGCTTTTGAGCCAAACAGACTATATATGTTCAATTCCTGAAGGTTTTTGTGAAATTGTAGAAAGATGCTGAAACGTTTATCTGAAAGTCATAGTCACTATGATGTGATTCCAATCCAAATGCAGTCAAAACTCACAAGGAATGATCCTATATATATTCGGGCATATTGCACGTCTTGCATATATTAAGGTCATAAGTCAACACACAAAGAGTACAATGATAGTCACAAAATAGTCACGACAGTCACGTTATGCACTATTTACTGAAAGAAAGAAGAAACAAGATTCATTCTCTGCAGATAGTCAAGAACAACAATGTAGGCATGCAGTATCGAGATTCTGCAAACATTAGTGTACATTTTCTTTCATTCACAATATTTACGTCCATACATATACGATGCAATAATCATGCATTGAAGCGGACATGCCTCAACACAAATACCCTGTACCTTTGTCCTATTTAAGTATGTACGTCAACTTTTACTAAATCAGTATTGCACTGAAAGAAAGTAAAACATTTATTGTTATTGATGCTCACAAAATAACTCTAAATTCAAATACGTTCAAGCAAACTTTCAGCTTCATGTTGTTTTAAATATGAGCGAAGTATTATCTTGATACAATATATCCAAATCGGGAGAAGTCCAGGGCTCCGTTCCTCAAAGCGATCGTAACCCTAAGATGATCGTAACTCCCATACTTTAACATAGACTTACGACAGTCGTAGCGCTACGATCGCTTTGAGGAACAGGGGCCTGAACACCAAATATTTTCACATGATAGTGGTTAATCTGTCAGACATAAAATTGACTTTTGTCCTCCAACTAAAATTTATCTATTATGGTGTAACAGCTTAACTCTGGTCATACAAAAACAATCAGGCATTCCTTAACTTGTTTTAGCAGTATGCTATTCTATTCTTGAATTTTTGCAGCTATCTACAGAAATTTCAAAGATTTGTGACAATAAAAGAAAAAGTATCTATTTTTACATATTTCCTTACTGATATTTATTTGCCAAATACCAGACAGAAGATCCAGCAATTGTTCGACTGATTTTATTGAAACCTTGTCATTTGATTTGATTTCCATAATAAAGATTTTATTTATTCTACATAAAAGAGAAAATCAATTTCTTTTTTTTAATTAAGTTTTTTTTGTATCTTCCAAACTACAGCCATGATGTACAATAACTGTAAAGAGCTAAGAAGGCTCTGGGGATTGGATGTCTTAAATAAGAGCACAGGAATACTTCTTCTGCATTGCATGTACACGAAATTCCACAGTAAAGATATTATCTAAATGTCTTTGATGTTCATGCTGTTGCTATCTTCAGAGGATAAATCTGAGTCACCAATGCCGTCATGAAGGTTTCCAGAACAAAGCCCAACAAAAAAATACTTCATAGAAGATGTAGAACACAAGAACACCCAGAGTCTACACATCACACGTCAAAAATTCTGTTAATAAATTGGTACATTAAAGCGGTACATAGAGTAAATTTTAGGGCATTAAGCTTGGAAACTAAATACTTATGACTGAAAATAATCACCTACAAAATGAGAGGCATTTAGAACTGAAGCATTGAAAAATATACAGGTCGTAAACAGTCCAAATTCTATTCCAATTGTATTTAATTCGATTTGTGTATTTGGTTTTTCCAATCTTTTTCACAGATGCCAGTGTTTAATGAAATGGAAACATAACGTAGCTAGTTTCATGACCGACTAACCGTTCCATATCCCAAGTCCTTGATCTCTGACAGTATAGTGTAAGGGGCATAACCCATTTCCCCCTTGTAGTTGCGCACTTTCCACCACTTCCTGCTGCTGTCCACCACCTGAAGCACACAGAAAACATGTTTGGGACTTTTGTACACAGGGATTTACATCAAATTGCAGCAAACAAGCCAGTGGCGCAAATTACCATATGTAATCTGGAATCTCACTGATCAGGTCTTAGCAATTAGGGAATCCATATATATGGATGAAACAGCGACAGGACACTGGATAGTGAGGTCTGGGCTGGATTATTTAGACATGTAAATTTTTTTTGAATATTCTGAGAGTCTCGTTAAACAGGAAAGTAAGGTTGCTTGGACAGATGTTGACCTGAGAGATACAATGGGGTGCTTGGGGATAACATGGGGTGGTGGGGGATAACAAAGGGGGTGGGGATAACAAAGGGGTGGTGGGGGGATAACAAGGGGTGGTGGGGGGTGGTAACAAGGGGTGGTGGGGGGAATAACAAGGGGTGGTGGGGAATAACAAGGGGTGGTGGGGAATAACAAGGGGTGGTGGGGATAACAAGGGTGGTGGGGGATAACAAGGGTGGTGGGGAATAACAAGGGTGGTGGGGACAACAGGGGTGGTGGGGAATAACAAGGGGATGTGGTGGGGAATAACAAGGGTGGTGGGGATAACAAGGGGTGGTGGGGAAACAAGGGGTGGTAACAAGGGGTGGTGGGGAATAACAAAGGGGTGGTGGGGGGATAACAAGGGGTGGTGGGGAATAACAAAGGGGTGGTGGGGAATAACAAGGGGTGGTGGGGAATAACAAAGGGGTGGTGGGGGGTGGTGGGGATAACAAAGGGTGGTGGGAATAACAAGGGTGGTGGGGAATAACAGGGGTGGTGGGGGAATAACAAGGGGTGGTGGGGAATAACAAGGGGAGGTGGGGAATAACAAGGGGTGGTGGGGGATAACAAGGGGTGGTGGGGAATAACAGGGTGGTGGGGAATAACAAGAGGTGGGGAATAACAAGGGGTGGTGGGGAATAACAAGGGGGGGTGGGGGGGTGTAACAGGGGGTGGTGGGGAATAACAAGGGGGTGGTGGGGGGAATAACAGGGGGTGGTGGGGAATAACAGGGGTGGTGGGGGAATAACAAGGGGGTGGTGGGGAATAACAAGGGGTGGTGGGGAATAACAAGGGGTGGTGGGGAATAACAAGGGTGGTGGGGAATAACAAGGGGTGGTGGGGAGTAACATTTGGTGGTGAGGGATATACTATGGGGGTGCTGCGGAATGACATGGTCACAAGGAGATGTGTTGACCTGGGGGATAACAGGGGTGCTGGGGCTAACATGTAGTGACAAGGGAAGCTGGGTTGGTTGGCATTCAATGGAGAGCTGGCATATATTCAGTTCATCCTGTGACAGCAACTGGGCACTCACCTGCAAGATGTCTCCTTTGTTCACTGAGATTTCTTTTTGATTTTTGCCCTTTCTTTCATGAAGTGCTTCGTACACTCTACAATCGAAAACATTTCAATTAATTGTCATCAATAAACTGATTTAAAAGAACATGCTGTTCAGCTGCATATTCTATTGTACATAAAAGTACCTTATTAGGCCCAAAGAGACGGTGTTCTCTACTTTTAAACTGAAACTTCTCATGGTCAACTGTGTTGATGTTAGTTTGGTTTTGCTGTAGTAACCCTTTTTATTTCAAGTCAAGTAGTAGCATCGCCACAAACAAGGTGGGCTTTCCTCCAACAATAAGCTGACATATGATGATATGACTGGAATATCGTTCAAAGCAGCATTTACCCGTGAAGGTCCAGTTTAGAATAGGTCTTAAGCATCCCATGCTTGTCGTAAGAGGCGAATAACAGGATCGGGTGATCAGGCTTGTTGACTTGGTTGACACATGTCATCGTATACCAGTTGCATTGATCGATGTTCATGCTGGTGATAACTGGATTGTCTGGTCCAGACTCGATTATTTACAGACCACTGCCATATCGATGGAATATTGCTGATTGCAGCATAAAACTAAACTCACTCACTCAAAACAACATTAAACCCAACTCACTAACTCTCTACACAACATCATTTACAATGATCCTAGAGCATGAAAATACTAATAAAAAGAATTCAAATCTAAAGTAATAAACGATATCCCAACAATATGACACAGAAAACATCCTGCAGCTTGGTTTGGCTGTTGTTTTACGCCTCACCCAGCAACATTCCCGCTATATGGCGGCGGTCTGTAAATAATGGAGTCTGGACCAGACAATTCAGTGATCAACATCATGAGCACCAATCTACGCAATTGGGATACGATAACATGTGTAAACCAAGTAAGTGAGCCTGACCACCTGATCCTGTTAGTTGCCTCATACAACAAATATGGTTACTGAAGACCAATTCTAACCCGCATCTTCACGGGTATACGGCAGCTTGGATAAAAATATAGTAAAAAGAGATATATGGCCCTTATGAAAGGGGGTTTCTCCAGCAGGACTGAGGACACTTACTGATGACCACCCCTCCTCAGTTCGTCCAAGTAGGCTGCGTTCTCTTCATCTCGTGTTGACGTAGGAGACTGACGTCTCATTTCGGGACGATTTCTAGGAACAACCACAATCAGCGTTACCATAAAAAGTAAATATATTCTAAAAACAGATCTAATCATTTTACATGTAATATGAAACCAAAGATTATTTACATCAAGTATATAGAATATGATAGAATAACTATTAAAGGTTTCACTATTCACTACAATTAAACAGCGATAATGGATTTGACTTTACTCAACATTAAAATAATCAAAACATTATAAGAGTCGAACATCACATATGTTCGACAGCTGCTTGGAAGACAGCTTCAACATAGTCACTGTATCTCACGGAGCAGTGACGTTTTTTATATATTACATCATTTTATAAAAATAATAATTATATTCAATAATAAAACAAATAATCTAACGTTCTGTAGGTTATGCTGGAAATCCACTGCAAACTTTTAAACCACAGGTTAGTGTTAACAAAAAATAAACATCAAAGATGAGTACCATATCACAGCAAACGTAAGAGTTAGTACATTTTAAGATCAAATCTGAAAATAACTACATCCTTTCCGAGTTACTGTTGTTGCTCGTTTCATTGCCACAATGAAAAGAGAAATAAAAACTTCTATAATGCATGGTTCATACATTATAAGAGTACGAGAAATCCAAACTTTGGTATGAGAAGTGAACACTTAAACCATTGGGCTACTCTACTGGGTTTTTAAAATATGAAAATCTAGGACAACAGAGTTCATGAGTCTATACGTGAATCACTGGATCAAAAACAATTTCACTGCTACAAGCTGAAGCAAGCAACTGCAACAAGTCAGGAAAGACAACTCTTGCGGGACCAGATGTAGACAGCACAAGGAGAGGATTCAACATGGAGAAAAGGGATCTTTTCTAAATATTGAGTGGACATTTCCCAGTGTTGGTGGGGGTCGTGCGTGTAGGGAGGATCCCTCATGAGGGGGAGAATTAGTACTGGAAGAAAAATCCAGTTTGTAAAATCCCATTGGATTGTGGTTGAAAACAGCTTTGCAATTAAAGTAAGCACATGCAAACCCAAATTACCAAAATAAATTTAAATGTCAAACCATGCACTTTGAATAGTACCTTTCTGCTTTCCCCTTGCTTAAACAATTGCCAAAAGTCACTGAGATCCAATGAATACTTATGAAATATTATTATTAAAATAATATTATTATTAAATACAAAGGAAGAAGTTTGACATTCTATGAAAGCTCTTTAAATTTTAAAAACTAAAAAACTTTCTTCAGAAGCACCATTCCTACAACTAAATTACTATGGCCTTAATTATCAAAAAAGCATTAATGATGGATAAAGCAGGTTTCTATGATACCCAACACAGGTAGCTCTGGGCAAGTAGACTACAAGCAGGGCAAGCCAAACCAGGCACACTCAAGTAGATCCTCTGGATTTATATCCAACCTCTCTTGGGGCTGTTCTACGTATTCTGGGTATACAGCTGAAGTACTCTGAATAGCATGCCTTGGGGGACTCGGCGGCCGCGGGCTCGGTGGGCGTGGCGACGGGCGTGGTGGTTCAAATCTACGCTGGTAATCATCCTCTGGGGGGTAGGAAGGCTGCTAGAAGAATAAATTCAACATGAAAATTTCCATTTGACATCAATCAGAATCTGTAATAGCTACAAGTATTCCCTAGTCCTTAGCTCACATTGTGACTCTCTCCTAAGTTTTTGAACACCTGTCAGATTGTACTTCACAGATGTAAAAGAATTAACATTTTAAGGAGATTTCTTACTTGATCACTAATCTTTGTACATAACTATTACATAAATTCCTTAAAGGTAATTTTTCTAAATTCTCAATTCATGAAAAACCAATCAAGTATATCGTAGAGAAGTGCAAATCCCTGATCAAGATGCTTACAATTGGCTTTGGGTATTCCAATATTCTTGGAATTTCCAATTCCTACCAATCTCAACCTTGCAAGCCAATACATTGATTCTTAAGTTAGATACAGTGTGTGTTAATGTCCTTAGTGCGGGCAGCATGACTGTGAGTTGATACTGCAGGGCCACGTTACAAAGTGATCAGAGCACTACGACTATCGTATCTCCTATACTTTAACATAGAGTTATGACAGTTGTAGCGCTTACATCGCTTTGTGAAACAGGCCCTGGTCTATGGTAATGTGAGAGAATACGAGTGGCACATGTTACCAGAGTGTGTGTTACTACCACAGCACAGGTTTACACAATGTTACAGGATTACATACATTGTATTAACAATGCCTACACAGTGGATACAGTATGTAATATTGTTAATACAGAGGCATATGGTATATAATGTATATTTACCGCTTGTATGATACAGTGTGTTGAGATATATGCTGTATAACATCTAGACTTGACCATGGCACCAATACAATGTTTTCGAGGATCACAATCTCATTAAATTCAAATCTTTGTTCTCATACTGATCAATAAAGTCTGAGGGCATCTTGTTCCAGAACAACCTTCTGCAAACTTGGAATAACCAATGAAATAACTATCTAGAAGTTGACATAAGCCAATCTTTACAGTTCAAGTTTCATGCTAGCAGCTTCAGATTCCAGATTACACTTTGAAAAATCTTGATTCAGAATTTGAAAACAGTCTAATAGATGTCAAAGACTGTATGGCGGAACCTGCCATGGACTATGGACAATCTGCTATTTTTTAAAGTGTCCCACGAGATAAATGATTTCAATGGAATCAGCTGAACAGCCAATATGTGAGCCATTTTGAGGTTGTGCGATTAGAAATCACATTCCGACTGTTGTTTTTCTGATCTGGTAAGCTCTGCCTGGTCGGATGAGTTTGTTCTGACATGACTGGAATAGGGATGACGTCAGAGTCACATTTAATTCCATCAAGAACAAAAATGCAATTTTAATGAGATGGCCAGGGTCATGAATGATAGAAGCATGACTTCACACACGTGTGTAAAAACAATTGGAAGAATACACACTCTTCTACTGCCTTCTATATACACAACTGAATATACTTTGCACTAAAGATATAATATTAAGTTACATAATTATAATCATACATTCAGCGTGCTGGGTTAAACCATTCCTGCAATTCTTATGAAAATTTGCAAAAGAGTCATTAATAACAGAACACAGTACCGGAAGGGTTTAAATAGAAGTTCTTCAAAAAGAACGGGATCAGCTGAATTATTTATGATGTTTGTTTGGCAACATGTATTTATTTGGAAAAAAGAACAAGTCGATAAATAACATGTCAGAAGTGCTATGTCAAATAAGATTTGTAACTTTAACATGACACCAACATATTTACAAGATCTACTTGGGCTATAGACATGCAACCTTGAAATGAAACCAAAGTTCAAGCATAATTTCAATGACAGGATTACTATGGGAGTCAATACAATGGTTTTACTACTGAATTGAAATCAGTATATACTGAGAGAAACAAATAAGGGAACACCACTTCATCGCAGTGTTCCTCTATGTATTCTCACCCACAGTGCGATACAGAGCTTGTGAAGAATAATAGAAAAGAATAAAGGAACACTTGTGGTTTCACGTGATCCCTTGTTTGTTTCTCTCAGTATATATCTCAGTAAACTGTAAAGTGATAAAATCTGGGATTTCTTGGGACACTCTCCAGCAAATCATAAGAGCATGCAGGCCATGGCATACATTTTAAACATACAGTTACCAACAAGGTAAACACATAATCACAAGGCTGCTGCTGCTGCAGAACAGTGAAAGAGTGGGGTTAGACTCTGGGTTTCTGAAATTATTCTTAAATCTGGACCGCAGATGTTATGAAATCCATCATTTTCACAAATAATTTCTAATCAAATCTGATTAAAAGATTTTCAAAAAATGAAATCAAAATGTTTTGAAGAAAATATAATGAAATTTGCAATCATTTCATAAACCCATTGGATCATTTCACGAACTATGTCATTTATACACATTTAATTTCAAAAGAACTTTAAGACAAACAAGTATATATTTTAATGAATCAATCAATGTTTATATACAATAAATCGCTTATATTTCAAAGAAAACAATATGTTTTGAAAAAAAATTGAACACAAACATGAAAACAACATTATGAAATATCAAAAGTGTGACGTGATAATTTTTAAAAATCTATGAATTTCTTAACCTGAACAACCATTTCGTGAAATGCTCCTGAGAGGAAGGGTTAAATAATATTACCATTGGCCTAGTATCCGACTCATGCGTGTGGTTCATGATTTGGTTGTGGTGGGCAAGAACCGCCGCCTCTAATGGTACCTGAGGGGGAGGAAGGGGAGGAGAATCCTCGATCACGCTCGACGATGGTCGCCAGCCATCATAGAACACTGGGTTAAAAGGGGGCGTGTAGCCTCTCCACTCATCTCTGAAAGAGATATAACAAATATATGTAACTATAATATACATTATAAAATAGATATAAAAAATAAATTAAAAAATAACATAAATAACATTTAATAGTGAGAATGAATAATTGTGACAAATACTGGTGGTCTGTTACTGATAGAGTGAGCGAGTTGGGTTTTAGCAATATTCCAGCAATATCAAGGTGGGGGGAAATCGACCCAGGCCTTCAGCGTGATGAGCGAACGCTTTAACCACTAGGCTACCCCATCGCCCCTGTTATTGATAGAGTGAGTGAGTGAGTGAGTAAGTGATGGGTTTTTTTCGCCGCTTTTAGCAGTATTCCAGCAATATCACGGTGGGGAACACCAGAAATGGGCTTCACACATTGTGTGTTATTAATAGACATGTTGGTACGATGACACTATCAGGTCTGACCACCTGATCAACTTGCTGATACGCCTGGCCCTGTTTCTAGGGTTCAAATCTAAACCACGGTGGGTTATGGTAGTAATATCTGACCTGCTAGCTGTCCATTTCGGTCCCAGCGCCTGCCACAGCTCAATCTCCTTGGACGTCAGGCAGTTGAGCAACAGTTGTTTTGCTTCATTGTTGAGGACTGGAGATATGGCCTGGTCGGCCAGGTCCCGGTTGCCGTGGAAAGGGTCACGACTGGCTTCGTAGATCAGACTTAAAGGTGTAAACAGGAAGTGAACCAATTCCGGGGCATTCGGGTCATGGATGTGTGCCTTTAACTTGGCCTGTGGAGATATAACTCATAGTAGAAAGACAGAAACAGCATATTTAGTGGCATAACATTGTTATCGTTCACACTATATCGCCTGGACAACGTATACTTGCTGTCAATAGAGAAACAGTGTTTCTGGTCTGCCAGATCACAGCCTTGCTACCATCTTACTATATAGGGCCTCATTGAAGAATGGTATCTTCGCTGTTCGACTATTGTAAGCCTATGTTTAAGTATGCGAGTTGCAATGACCTGCTAAGAAAGTTTTGTGCAACTGGGTCCTGAAGTTTTAGCTGTTGTAGTGCCATCATTGGTTCATGAACTGGCCTTGGCTCTTGGGACTCCAGACTTTTTAACAATGGCACCATATTACCATTACCAAGGTGTCATCAAGAACATAGCTCAGACAGATCTTGCTGATGGATCCAGAGTGTATGTGACAAGCAACACCTTTATCAGACTTAGGTATTACTAGCACCACAAGATCCATTTTTCAAAATCCTGGACCTGCTTTTGGATCTTCAAACTAAAATGACATGATTCCTAACAAATTAACAGTAATGTTAGGTGACAGAGGGAAAGATTCTTATTCATATTTCAAGTGAACTTTTATCCAGGTTTGACAATCAATGAAATGCTTTCAGCAACACAGGGACAGAGTGAATTAACTTACCAGGAGGTTGAATGAAAACTTGAACTTTTGGAAAATATCAATAAAATCACTGGCAGGGGGCGGTCTGGCTCTGTGACTCAACATACCATCTGGAACAAAGTAGAACAATGTTAGAACACAATACTCTCTACATATAATGTCTTGATCAACAAACTTGGGAACGTAGTTAAAGTGTTTTTAGTGAAAGTCCATGCACAGAAGATGAGGCTATCAATATATTTTGTCAAAGGTGATGCTCTCTGCATCTGAATACTATTACATGAAAACCCTGAAATTTAGTTGTTGGTTGTTGAACGCAGCACTCAGCAATATTCAAGCTATATCAGACAATCCAGTGATCAACAGCATGAGCATCGATTTATGCAGTTGGGAACCGATGACATGTGCCAACCAAGTCAGCGAGCCTGACCACCCGATCCCACTAGTCGCCACTTACGACAAGCATGGGTTACTGAAGATCAATTCTAACCCGGATCGTCACGGGGCTCATTAAGGAAAGGACAACACATGTGGAGCTTGGTGAAATACGTGTGCACACAAAACTCTTATATCTCAGTTGGTGGTGGACATCGGGGAAGGAAAATGAAATGAATATTTAGTGTTGACAAAAAATCTTTATCTCAAACTGTAATAAATACGTGATTGCAACACTGAGCACAAAAAAAAAATTAATTGGCAGTTTTAAGTGAGAATATGGCAAGATATGAGACACAATTCATTACATTGTCAAGGAAGCATGCTTACATTCAAGCAAATCATTACAATTAATTTTGTCTGAAATAAATACACATAAAATCAAATGGGACAAGTTAAACAGAAGAAATACATTCAAAATACTGATGGAACTTAGTTTTCCATGCAATGTCTAACTATTAACATTCCACATGTAACAGCAGTGGAAGGGAGGTCGAGGTCACCATACAAACCCTGGTTTCTGTCTATGTATCCAGCGAAGCATTAATATATAACAATGTAAGTAAGGGAGAGTGTCACTGAAACAATGAATACAAAGTACTGTCTTACACCTCATTTAGGTATTACTAAAACATGTGTATGTTTAGGGCCTGTCTTCATAAGATGAACTCACATATACCCATTGACACAGCCTTAGTAATTAGCGTGCTTTGTGGATGAGTGAGTGAGTTTAGTTTTACGCCGCACTCAGCAATATTCCAGCTATATGGCGGCGGTCTGTAAATAATCGAGTCTGCACCAGACAATCCAGTGATCAACAGCATGAGCATCGATCTGCGCAATTGGGAACCGATGACATGTGTCAACCAAGCCAGCGAGCCTGACCACCCGATCCCGTTAGTTGCCTTTTACGACAAGCACAGTCGCCTTTTGTGGCAAGCATGGGTTGCTGAAGACCTATTCTACCCCGGATCTTCACGGATCAATGAATACAAAGTACTGTCTTACACCTCATATAGGTATTACTAAAACATGCGTATGTTTAGGGCCTGACTTCATAAGATGAACTCACATATACCCATTGACACAGCCTTATTAATGAGCGTGTTTTGTGGATAATGATGATGATGATGATGATGATGATGATGACATCATCTGGGATCAAACCTGGGTGCTGTTGTACAAAGCGATCTTAGCGATAAGGTGACGTAACTTCCATACCTTATCACTGACTGAGTTTAGTTTTACGCCGCTTTTAGCAATATTCCAGCAATATCATGGCGGGGGACACCAGAAATGGGCTTAACACAATGTGCCCATGTGGGGAATCGAACCCGGGTCTTCGGCGTGACGAGCCAATGCTTTATCCACTAGGCTATCCCACGGCCCCCCATACCTTATCATATACTTAAGGTAGTGTTAGTGCTTAGGTTGTTTTGTACAACGGCACCCTGGCCTTCAGAATGATGAGCAAATGCCTTAACCACTACACTACAGCACTGCTCTGATGATGACGGCAACAATGATTACCACATCGACGCTTGATGATTGCAATAATTACTGTTGAAGATACGAAACAGAACACCTCACTGGACGGTTTCACGTGAGTGCAACACAGGGGTATGTATCCATCCATTCATCCAAACCCATACAACTTTTAAACCTATTTTGACAAATAACACTTGTTTTGAAATACACCTCTGACAAATGAGTCCACCAACCATGTTCACCAGTCATGACATTTCTAGTTAGTGGTAGCTCACCTCCGCTCTGTCTTTTGCGTGCCCGGTTGCCTCGCTCTCGTTTCCTACGTTCTAACTCCTTGTATGCTTCGGCCGCTTGCTGTAGTCGAGCCACGAACCGCTCGATGTCATCAAAACAGTGATTCAGCAATTGCTGAAATAGGGAAACACAGTCAATACACTTGAGGTATTAGATACACAAATGAAAAAATTAAACTTTTGGCCAAATCAAACTAACATCATTCGTCAAAGTTTGAACTGGCTGCCACCAGTAGGGTGCGCGTGTCCAAATGAGCTTCACACCTACGTCTTCAGTTCGTTGAGCAAACACTCACTAAGTCAACTTTGACACTGACTCTTCTACTCTAAGGAGCAGTGAGGTAGTCTGGTTGTTAAAGTGTTTGATCATCAAGCCAAAGGCCTGGGTTTGATTCCACACATAGGTTTTGTTTAATGTTTAATACTTCACCCAGCAACATTTTAGCTAAATGGTTGCTGTCTGTATATATCTGGCTCTTGACCAGACAATCCAGTGATCAACAGCATGAGCATCGACCTACACCATCGGATACACCACACATAGGTAAAATGTAAGGCATCCACATCATCATAACGCTATAATATTGCTTATAAGCATAAAAAACCACAGTAACAAATCCGTTCCTTGACAATACTAAGCATAGATATTAAACAATTGAAAAACATCAGTTTGTAATCTCCCTTTGACAGTGTTATAGCCACATACAGTTGAACAATCGAGCAATTATACCAGTTAAAAGAACTTAGCACACTAGATTTCATAATAGTGAGTGAGTTTTGTTTTACGCCGCTTTAGCAATATTCCAGCAATATCACGGCAGGGGACACCAGACATAGGCTTCACACATTGTACCCATGTTGGGAATCGAACCCGGGTCTTCGGTGTGACGGGCAAACGCTTTAACCACTAGGCTTACCCCACCGCCCCTACTTCATCCTAGGATCGTAGTAGTTGAAGATTCTACCCTCCTTACCACATCTTTCTCTAGGACTTCGTTCTGTCCACCATCCTGAACGAATGGAATGTGGTTGCCAGCGCGTCGGTGACCAGGACCAGGATACTGCTCTGAAAGAAGAAATCAATTATAACTAAACACATGAAATCTTATACACTCCACAAGTATTCTTCCAATCTAAAGAACCTAATATCATCTTTAAGTGTCATTTTTCAACTTATTCTGCTTCCTTTAAATTAGACAGTGAAAATGTTGCCATATAGAAAAGAATTGAATGTTTTATCAAATCATCTTTTGATTTGATCGCAGGTGAGGTGAGGTGAAATGGGGTTTAACATCGGACTTAAGAATATTTCGCTCATATGACGACGTGCACGCATGTGTGTATGTGTGGTTGCTTGTACTAGCCCAGACTTAGCTGGTTTTATAGTGCCTGCTCACTGAGATACCACGCCCCAGTGATACATGAATACCCCACTCAGACACATTATACTGACTCCGAGACGACCAGTCCTTGTTGTACCCATTAATGCCGAGCGCCAGGCAGGGACCAACAAGTACCCTTTTTTAAGGTCTTTTGGTATGATGCAATCTTCCCCTCTCCGAAACTGACACTCTAACCACTACACCACGGAGGCGTTCTGAATTGTCTGCAGGGTAAATCTATTTGGGCACTTAGTATGGAGTCATATGCATTTCAATAGACTTTTATGTTGGCCAATGAAAATTCTCAATTATGTAAGAAAATATATTTATCTACTTCAAGGCACAATCAAATACTGTCCATGGTAACTGAGCTTGTCAGGTGACTGATTTCTTTTGTTTTCCCTGTACAATACAAAACATAATTTCCTACAACAATGTAACAGTCATGCATTGCATCATTGTTCTAACACAGTAAGTCTCAGACCAAACAATCCTGAACAATACAAAACATTGTTTCCAACAACTATGTAACAGTCATATATTGCATCATTGTTCTATCCCAGTAAGTCTCAAACCAAACAATCCTGAACTTATATATACACACCACAGTAAACATAGTACAACTAGACACAGATAAACAGTTTATCAAAATAACAAATCTCCCATTTACACTAATCCCCTTTCTCCTCAGGCCTTACCCAAAGCCTGACCAAGGTAAAGGACAATCTCGTCACTAAACAGATGGAGTATATTCTGTAAGGAGGTCATACAACTGGCTGGGGTGCATGATCACCAGTGGGTCAGGATCTATTTGTGCAGTTTGGGTGGGGCCGGGTAGATTGTCTAGTTGACATGTTGAAAATAACCACACCCATTTCTCTCCATGTCATGATTTCAAATTGTGCAACACCTCACAGTGTAACATATGTTAGACTTAGGTTTTAAGAAAACAAATATTTGTTTAATATTAAGTAATAGTATTTCTGTATAAATGAAAATCATGCTGAGGCTTGCTTCAAGGAAGTAACCTGTCAAAACAATAACAATATATAATTGTCCAAAACAATCAGTTGTAAGTACTCTTTCATGATCACTAGTTAACAACGGAAGCTTGGTAGTATTTACAAAACAAAATTAGGAATTAGGGAATCAATATTTATGGACCATAACTGAAGTAAAGAAGGATAACAATATACGGATGAACAACTTCTGTATTGCTGTGAGAGCGACGTTTCGGTGTAGGTTCTAACACCGTAATCAAACAAGTGATAGAAGTGTTAAACCTAACACTGAAACGTTGCTCTCACAGCAATAAAGAAGTTGTTCATCCGTACATTTTTATCCTTCTTTACTGCTCCAACTTCTAAATGCCTCTCAAAGAAGCATTACTGAAGAAGTTGAAGATGGAAACATATTAGCAGAACTGAAGAAGTTAATTTGACAAAGTCAGCTCTTCATTAAGATCACACACATTAAGTTTAAAAGAACACATTCTGTTTTTCTATGTTCATTCGTACACAATCATTGTGGAGCCACACAGAATGTTAAGATCAATCTCATATCACAATGCAAGTCTCACTGAGCAACCACATTGAGGTAACAACCCGGTAGTCAAAGTTTGTTCGGGCTGGGGCTCGGAACAAGACATGCTGTCTGTCAACACAACCAGGGCAGCGTGACATTACCTCCGCTACTGTGGAAGGCTGCTGTACACAGGGAGTTAATGTGCTGCTACATGAAGCCATTTTGTCCACCTGATACCCATTTGACTCAGTGTTTACCCTGCAGGGGCTATCCTGGGATCCACACAGGGCCTGATGAACGTTACACTAAGTGTGGAGGTGAACTTACCGGTGGTCCTCGTGCCGTACATTCCTGGGGGTTCTGGAGGTCGCTGTGAAGGGGGTGGGGGAATCCTCTGACTGCAAAACAAACACAGATTATTCCAATATGGTCAATATCATATATTATACCCCATCCCACCATAATACAATGTTGCACATTGTTCCCATGAAATAAGAAAGCTCAAGAATTGCATCAAGAACACAATGTTTCAACTCTTCTTTCCAAAGCAACAATCCACAGCATCACTGTACTCCTGAGTGAGTTTAGTTTTACGCAGCTTTTAGCAATATTCCAGCAATATCACGGCTGGGGACACCAGTACTCCTGGAAAATGATGGGTATCCTCTTCAGCATCTTCCAAATTATTAACCCTAGCATAATTGCCTCATCACAAAAAATTCTGTGTAAATATTACGTACTTTCACCTATTTACTTTTTTACATATCTTACATCTGTCCCGGCTGGCCTGTAAAGTAGGCCATATTATCACATCTCCATCAAAAGACTTGCTTTTTCCACCTTTCTTACACAAATATACATCCGTGGGAACAGAATCCTGAATGGGACTCAACCCCAAAAATACTAAAATCTGTAGTTCACTAGTGTAATCCTAAATATAACAAATTTTACATCCGTGTGAAGTTAAGAACTACGCCATAAGGAGCATATCGTCACTTAAACCAAGATGGAGGCCTTTCCCACTGTGACATGGCTTGTGCTGTCTACTCCATACAAGTCCTGATTTAAACACATCTTTGCAAGCCATTTCAGAAGCAACAAAGAACACACTATCTTTCCACCTTACACGATAATCAAACATACACTTCAAGCCAAAGAATCACAAAACATTCTCCATCTATGAAAACACAATCCTCCATTGTCCTATACATCCTTGAGAAAGATGAAAACAGACATCAAAAGACAAAAGAAAAATGAAAAAATTATCCCAAAACCACCAAACACTAACTTCATCATCATCAGCTCTGAAATAACTGACATGCACTGTACGTCCTTCAGTCGTACACAGAACTAAGTAAATCCTCTGGCAACAAGCTGAGACATCTATAATCTCCTGAACCCACAGTACATCATGGCTACCTGGACCACTGGCTCATTAAGAAGTGTTGACTATTTTAATCAGGCTTGGTGTGCCAACCTCACACTTGCCTTGTGGAACCACAGCGCTTTACATTAACAAAAGTCTGACAACTGGATATATTGGGTAAATGGCTGGGCGTCATGTCAATATTAGCATTAACCGTTACGTGGCCGTATACCATGGTGAGTTTATAAAAGGCTATATCACCGGGCACTGTGACTTGCACTGAGCAGCATCACAAGGAGATGTTACAGTGGGTGGGTGCTTCCACAAACATGCAACAACTACAACTACCACCTGGTATCATTCGGTTGCTACCCATTCGACAGGAGAGCAGCATAATGACATCCCCAAATAAAACTTGCAATAATTATTCAACAAGTCGGATTTACGTGTCATTTGAGTTATGTATGGAATGAAGTAATTCTCAGCTTTCTAAATATATAATCTTCAATTAGTTTATGTACCGTAAAACGAAACGCCCGCGAACTAAACATTTGTTCGCTACAATTCTCGCCACACACCCGCAAATAACGGCCATTTTTTACTTCAGGCACATCATGTCGAGTGGTACCCAGTCTAATATTTTCTTCATAATGAAATATTTTTTTAATAATTTGTTCTTTGGTGAAGAGAAAACACTGAAGTTTCCCATTTCGTAAAAATTAGTAACTTTCAGTTTAATTATTTATAAACAAAAACAACCTATTGCTTAAACAGCTACTCCTGAAAATACCATAGCACTGGGCTGGTATCATTCGGTTGTTGTTTCTAAACTGGTCACCCCAGTAAGTCACATCTCACAACAAGCAAACCCAAAGGGGGCTTGATTATAGAAGTGAGTTTGCTTTCACCAACCTTTATCTACTATTTACTAGATGCTGAGGTCAGCTTGCTACAGAGTGTAACATGATCTGTACTGACCCTACAGTATGATGATATCTACCCTACCTACCCACAACTGACTGATGTGAGTGTCACAACATATTCTCACCCCTGAGCCAGCTCGGATACAGCCCTGGCTCCGTACACCCTGTGGTGCAGGGACAAAAATGTGCGAGTACTCACTCCTGGGCAAGCTTAGATACAGCCCTAGCTCCCTACACCCTGTAGTATTGGGACCCAAAAATGTGAATACTCACTCCTGGGCAAGCTTAGATACAGCCCTGGCTCCATACACCTGTAGTGCAGGGACAGAAATGTGTGAATACTCACTCCTGGGCAAGCTCAGATACAGCCCTGACTTGCTACCCCCTGCGTTGTGGGGACAAAACAGAGTGTGAATACTCACCCCTGGGCAAGCACAGCTACAGCCCCCACCTGGGTCAGAAATACAGGGAGACAACATGTACTCACCCCAGGGCAAGCTTTAGACTTATCCCCAGCTCTATTACTGTGAAAGACAATAGGCACTCACCCAAGCTTGGCTCCACCTCCTCTGGCTGCTAATATTTCATCTACAATATCCTGTGACTGTGAAACAAAAGAACATTAATTAGGATGACTTCATTGTTATTTTCACCATTTGTTCATGAACCTGGCCATATACTAATCACTTTTATTCAATATGGATTAATGGGTCTGTACATTGCACTGGGTTTGTTGTTTATTCCACAACACATTTAAAAATTCATAAAATTCATGCTAGCCTGCAAGCCTGCGACTACTAAAATGTACCGAGGACAGGTAGAATTCCAATGACGATATTAATACGCTCATTAACATGTAGTATTTGGGTGATGTGATTCTGAAACAGTTTCACATCCTTACATCTTATTACTAAAAGAAACTGGACGTAACTGATACAAATTGTAAACAGCAAACAGTCTTGTTAAAACATTACTCGGTTCAACCACACAGGACACGCGAAATACCAACTTCGGTTAACATTCATGTGATGTTTGTTCCCAGGTTGGGAATAGAACCTAAGGCAAACTAACACCTGAACCATTAGACTACCCACACCCAACACAGAAACACCAAATTTTGCGGAGAGACCAAAATGTCAAAGTCAAAAGGAGTTATTGGTAATGAGGCCAGGGCCCAGACACAAGATAACTATACACAGTTAACAAGTGAAGTCTAAAGTGTTTCTAAATACATAGTTCTTTATATATAGGCATGGTAAATGTAATACTGTACATGTTTGATTAGATTCTCCTGAGATGTACATAATAGACTTTTAAATTTATCGATAGATAAATTTTCCAAAAGTATTCCGGAAGAAAAGTTATTCCCAAATCATTGTATAAGTGACAAACAAGAGTGAAATGATACTCATCCTCTACAGAGGTGTTGCAAATGGGACAGAAACATAAACCAGGTTCGATTGATTGCCACCTACCTTCATTATAACGTAGAAGCAAGAAATTGCATCTAAATTTGGTGTATTTAGAGTGAACCGTAGTTTCCAATATCATATACAGGTATCTTTCTGGTTCAAATATGAATTTATTTTCTCTATACATCACATATCTAGAGCTATTATTCAAAGCGGAGTGAATGAGTACGGTTTTACGCCACTTTTAGAAATATTCCAGCAATATCACGGCAGGGTACACCAGACATGGGCTTCGAACATTCTACACATGTGGGGAATTGAACCCAGGTCTTCGGCGTGACGAGCTAACACCCTAACCACTAGACTACCCCACCACCCTGTAGCTACTCATAGCATCAACAGAAATGCACCACTATACAGGTCAGTGTCTACGTGTATAACAAGCAGTACTGTATACTGTAGTACACAAGTCCCATCTAGACAAGGAAAAGGTCTAGACGAGGAAGAGCACTGAAACTTTACTACAAAGGAAGAAAAGTTCACAATCTCATACTTCTTAAACAAACATCCAGTGTTTTCCTGTCATATGAAACCCTGAGAAACCACAAGTATGAGATTAAAGTTTTCAAGTGCAAGTCAGTGAGGGGAACTGTCTTATTCCCTGGCATTATCAGATAATCCAGGGTCATGTGTCCACATAGCTATCTTATGAGGGTCATCAACAATCAGTGTGTGCCTTTCATCAATATCAGTGTGTGGTATGTTTATAGAGAGAGAGAGAGAGAGATATAGAGAGAGAGAGAGAGAGAGAGAGAGAGAGAGAGAGAGAGAGAGAGAGAGAGAGAGAGAGAGAGAGAGAGAGAGAGAGAGAGAGAGAGAGAGAGAGAGAGAGAGAGAGAGAGAGATATAAAGAGAGAGAGAGAGAGAGAGATTGAGAGAGAGAGATATAGATGAGAGATAGAGATATATATATTTAGAGAGAGAGAGAGAGAGAGAGAGAGAGAGGCAGAGAGAGAGAGAGAGAGAGAGAGAGAGAGAGAGAGAGAGAGAGAGAGAGAGAGAGGCAGGAGAGAGCGAGAGAGAGAGAGAGAGAGAGAGAGAGAGAGAGAGAGTCGACATTAGAAATTGGCTCCACATGTTGTACCTGCATGGTATGCTGAATGAATCCCGACTCTTCTGAGTGACAAGCGAATGCTTCAACCTCTAGGCTACCCCATCGCCCACCGTCAGGACTGTTATTGCCTTGCCTCGAAGGTTATCAAACTTAATGTTCGTTCAATTATCTATCAGAAAGGAACGCTGGTATATTCTGATACATGGAGGAAAGAGTGTATTTTGTGTAACTACTCACAGGCACTCTAATACTTTGGAATATGTGCAGGTCGCCCTGGCTGCTCTTCCTACGGGGATCCTCCACCACGGTGAACAGGATCAGGTTATTGTACACCTCTCGGCGGTCGTTCTTGAACACAGCGGTTGGGTCCACAATACAGTCCATAGGGAAACGCTCCAGCTCCTCCTGCAAACACAACAGTCAGACCATCACTAGCTGCATTGTATCATATACCTTCAACTAGCTTCTCCTACACAGCCAGAAACACAAATATCTGAAAACTCCATAAGGAAATGGCCCAGCTCTTTCTGCAAACACAGCATAGTTTCACTATCACTAGATGGTTATATTAACATATTCAAGTGGTCATACAGAGCTAGAAAGCATCCATAAGGAAATGGTCCTTCTTTTCCTGCAAACACAACTTAGCCAAGGCCATTAACAGCGGCATGACAATACACATCTTTAACTATCTTCTCATACAGAACCAAAAACACAAATATCTGAGTGAGTTGAGTTTAGTTTAGTTTTACGCTGCTTTTAACAATATTCCGGCAATATAATGGCAGTGGGCACCAGAAATGGGCTTCACACATTGTACCAATGTTGGGAATCAAACCCGGGTCTTCGAGTGACGAACGAACACTTTGACCAATAGGCTACCCACTGCCCCCATAAATATCGGAAAACACCTGAGGAAATATACAATACTTTCTCTAGATTAATTCAGTTTCAGCAAAATCAACAGATTCTCTGAACTTCACTCTACTCCATTCATACAGATGCTTTAAAGAGTATTTCAGAACGGAAATCTAGTCGGGTGCGACCTTCTACATAAAGCTATGTCATCAATTATTGGCAACTCTCAAATCCCTGTTGTCATCTGTACATTACCACACTTACAGTACATGTTCATTCCCATAGTGTGGAGTGAGTGAGTGAGTTGGGTTTTGCCAACGCTCTTAGCAATATTCCAGCAATATCACAGAGGGGTACACCAAAAATGGGCTTCACATAATTGCACCCATGTGGGGAATCGAACCAGGGTCTTCGGCGTGACGAGCGAACGCTTTAACCACTAGGCTACCCCACCGCACTCCATAGTATGGAATCAGTCGTCAGTCTACCCAATAAGCCTTAGACCCTGCTGTCCATATATATATATCCTAGTCAGTTTCAACCTACTGTGGTTGACACACTACCCTGGACAAATAGTTCAAATGAAAACTTTACTTATTGTCCAACAGGACCCCTACCAACTGCCTGAAGGCTGAAACTTGTCACCAGAATATTGTTTAAAGGACTTAAATAAATAGGTCAGCGTCTAGATGTTGTTAGCACCCATATCCCTTGTGTGTAACAAAAGCTCAGTGCTACTTAAAATAATGCCACATATTTACTTTGAGGGATTATCTCGGCCCTGCATGGGACTGCAATGTTGTGACAGCAACAATGTTGCCAGAAACTAGCCAAACCCCTAAGGAGCCTGAGATTATCCTGGTTAACGAAGGAAGGTGCCTGGATGTGCACACAGTAGCTTAATAAACAAGGTAAGGTGTGATGGATTAGGAGCATAGCTCATGTCCCAGTCAGTGTTGAAGCTAGCTGCTCCCAGCCTTGTGGTTAGCCATGGGTGAAAAAATGGGTGACAGCGTGGAGAGCTGACCTACATTGTTGGCAGTAAAACTGGTGCTGTTTCCCCCTGACTGAATGTTGTTACAGGAATTGTGTGGTGTTAGATTACAGAGTGTAAAGTAATGGTAAATTTGGATGAATGAAAGCTTATATATTTCTTAGAGAGCAGATTAAAGATTTGGATTTAAATCTGCTGAGTCGACAGAAAATGACATTCAGTGGCATTTCTTATGATGTGAAACATTAACCAATATCAGGGATGATATGTAGTCTGGCATGACTGGTCTGTATATCTGTGTTAGACCTAGTGGATGGGTCTGTCATTACATCTAGTGGTGGATTGACAGAAGGAGCTGAATGGGTGTGTCACTAGGGGTGCTTACCACTGGTGTGGTCTGTTTAATACAGGTGGACAAGGCAAGAAACTCTGAGTCAAGTCAAAATAGCTTAGAAATGAAATATGTCATTTAGAAAACATGGATCAAGACAAAATGTGACAGTTTCTTATTTTCAAAATGAACTTATTAACCATACGTAAATCAATGATCATGATGTTGATCACTGGATTGTCTGGCCCAGACTCTATTATTTACAGACCGCCACCATATAGCTGGAATATTGCTGAGTGCAGCGTTAAACAACAAAACAAACAAACAACAATTCTGCAGCACTGAGGTAGTCCAGGCACTTTGTGAAAAAAGCATTATTTTGGAGCTGAAATAATATCTCCTACCAATCCACTAGTCAAAATGCTCATATGTGTCCAGTTATGGAAGCCACTATTTGTCAACTCAACCAGAAACTTGCATTGCCTCAAACACATCCCCTTGTGCCAATAAGGCTGAGCCATCGCCTTTGCTGAAAGTATGCCAATGTATGCATGAAATTCCTCAGCTAATCAGGACATCAGCTACCCACTTGTACTAACAGGGCTTGTTTGACCATGATCAAGGATAATGAATTCAGAATAACAATAGGTACTGCCATTAACCAAATTCTGTCAAGCTTGAAATCTGCCCCACATGTCTGGCCAGGCTTACACTGTGGCCTGTGCTACTGCCCTGGTATATAACCCCTATATCAGACCAGCTTACACTACAGACTACTGCCAGGGTATATAACCCCTATATCAGATCAGCTTACACTACAGACTACTGCCCTGATATATAACCCCTATATCAGACCTGCTTACACTACAGACTACTGCCCTGGTATATAACCCCTATATCAGACCTGCTTACACTACAGACTACTGCCCTGATATATAACCCCTATATCAGACCAGCTTACACTACAGACTATTGCCCTGGTATATAACCCCTATATCATACCAGCTTACACTACAGACTATTGCCCTGGTATATAACCCCTATATCAGACCAGCTTACACTACAGACTATTGCCCTGGTATATAACCCTATATCATACCAGCTTACACTACAGACTACTGCCCTGGTATATAACCCCTATATCAGACCAGCTTACACTACAGACTATTGCCCTGATATATAACCCCTATATCAGACCTGCTTACACTACAGACTATTGCCCTGATATATAACCCCTATATCATACCAGCTTACACTACAGACTATTGCCCTGGTATATAACCCCTATATCAGACCAGCTTACACTACAGACTACTGCCCTGGTATATAACCCCTATATCAGACCAGCTTACACTACAGACTACTGCCCTGGTATATAACCCCTATATCAGACCAGCTTACACTACAGACTACTGCCCTGGTATATAACCCCTATATCAGACCAGCTTACACTACAGACTACTGCCCTGGTATATAACCCCTATATCATACCAGCTTACACTACAGACTACTGCCCTGATATATAACCCCTATATCATACCAGCTTACACTACAGACTATTGCCCTGGTATATAACCCCTATATCAGACCAGCTTACACTACAGACTATTGCCCTGGTATATAACCCCTATATCATACCAGCTTACACTACAGACTACTGCCCTGATATATAACCCCTATATCAGACCTGCTTTCACTACAGACCATTGCCCTGGTATATAACCCCTATATCAGACCAGCTTACACTACAGACTACTGCCCTGGTATATAACCCCTATATCAGACCAGCTTACACTACAGACTACTGCCCTGGTATATAACCCCTATATCATACCAGCTTACACTACAGACTATTGCCCTGATATATATCAGACCAGCTTACCCTATATCACCCCTATATCATACCAGCTTACACTACAGACTATTGCCCTGGTATATAACCCCTATATCAGACCAGCTTACACTACAGACTACTGCCCTGATATATAACCCCTATATCAGACCAGCTTACACTACAGACTATTGCCCTGGTATATAACCCCTATAGCAGGACAGGAACAGAGGACATGTCTTGCATTCTTTCAAAGCTGTTTCACATACTTGCATAGACAAAAATGTCAGCAGTAAAATTCTGGCAACAAAGAACAAAGAATTCTTACCCCTGTGCTCTTGTCGAGAACAACAAGCGCTCGTCTCTCCACGATGAGGATACAACGCATGGTCCAAATGCCGGTGGTATTCTCCATCTTACGGAGCCGATGAAGGCCATCCTCAACGCTGATCACTCCTGTAAAAAACAACACAGTTGCATCATTGTCATCAACATAGCCTTCAGACCAATAGAAATGTTGGAAGAAACGCTAAATATTCAGTTGTATACTGAGCGAGTGCAGGGATTTATTTTGGATTTGAGCTAAGTGCCTTTGGCAGGAAATTTTTGTTGCAGACTTGGAGCCAGATATCTGCCTCTCAGATCGAGATAAATCCCTGGAGTGAGAATGATTTCTGGCTTTATACTACTCAAGCAATATTAGTGCAGGGGGATACAAGACTGGAGAACCGAACATGGGTCTTTGACCTGACGATCACTTTAAGCGCTACTGCCCTTTAATGTTCTTTGGGAGCTTAATGGCAGCAAGAACATGACTTGAACCCAGCCGATATGAACACACTTATACATACTCAAAGTGAAGGATCATCAACACATTTGGGATATCTGCATGACATTGGATGCTAAGTCATCACTACAGAAAAATAATACCCTAAATATTCATACTTCCTCTTCTGTTCAAAATATTTGCATGCTTATTATTAAAGTGATTTCTAATAAAATCCTAACATCATTTAGAAATATGTTTACAGTTAATTCAGAACAAATCCTTCCACCAACTAAATTGTACTTTGATAAATTATCAAGATTAAAGTCTGATAGTCTAATTTGATGAGCAGGAGAGCTGTGATCCCAGGTTAAAAACTTTGGCCTACCTGATCGTGTGCGGCGGTGTAGGTGGCCAAATGGTCTAGCTCGAACACAGGTTCATTTGAATGTTGTGCATAATCTAACAAACTGTTCTGATCTGAAAAATAAAATAAAACAACAATTAATAACACAGAACACGATGGTACATGTAAGAATAACAATGTTCAAACAATATCATTGACATTGTTCTGAATAAGCAAGATGCTACTACTGGCACAACTCATTATGGACAGATGACAGGAAAGGACTTCTGTTGAAAACCTGAAGACTTAGATATAATGTGATGGCAGCCAAAATACAGGATTATGGCAATAGTAATGGAGATTTTGTATTTGCAGGAATAAAGAATGTTGAAGCCATGGAGATTACCAGAACTGTTTGAAAGGTATCCAAAGACAGACAACAAAGATGGGCTTTGCTTGGCGTAACGGTGACTGAGTGTGGTGGATTTAATGCCTGTCTAATATCTTGATATGTTGGCTTTGATGCAATGATGTGAGTGAGTGTAGATTGATGCTGTATTTAACCTAATTTCACTTAAACCACGGCTTGTCACTTTAATGTGGAGGAAAGCTCAAACTGATGCAGGTAGGAGACATTTTAACCTGTAGAAGTGGACGATGCCACATGACAAGAAGACACATCATCTTATCCAAATAGCGATATATATCGATGCTAATGATTTCAATCACTGGGCCCGTGAAGATCGGGGTAAAATAGGTCTTCAGCAACCCATGCTTGCCACAAAAGGTGACTATGCTTGTCGTAAGATGCGACTAACGGGATAGGGTGGGCTGGCTGGCTGACTGACTGGTTGACACATGTCATCAGTTCCCAATTGCACAGATTGATGTTCATGATGTTGATCACTGGATTGTCTTGTCCAGACTCGATTATTTACAGACCGCTGCATATAGCTGGAATATTGCTGAGTGTGGCATAAAACTAAACTAACTCACTCACTCACTCACAAGATAAGGAGTGTTTAATCCTGTGACTACGTATGGTACTGAATGTTAATCTGTCCTGTGCACTCACTCAATCACTGGATTGTCTGGTCCAGACTTAATTATTTACAGACTGCCACCATGTAGCCAGAAGACTGCATAATACAGCGTTAAAAACCCTGACATTACTGTAGTATCATCACTGAGAACAACTCACAAATGTGTTTGATTTTCAGACTCAAACCAAGCCCTTGTCATAGTCAAACACCCACTACTAGCATCCAGTCTGTCATGGGTCAAAACGCTCGGATAAATATTGGTGTTACCGAGGTGTTTGACAACAGGGTGAAATCGGTACTTCACATAGGAACAAAATGAATGGATTTCAAAACTGATTTATCATGAGCGATATTTTGGAGGTATTAATTTCCTTCTTGCTCCTTCATACACTGAGACTAGTTCCTTCATTCTGACTTTAATCTCCGATGAAGGGCAAAAACTTGCCCAAAACATTGTGGATTAAGAATACAGAAGCCAAAATCCATGCATTCTCTCTCTCAATGTTAATATTCTACAACAGATGTTACACACATATGGCACACAACTTATCACATTCTTTTATCACTAAAAACCCGCCGACTATACCTCCCTGGGTCTTGTCTCACACACCCGGCCCACCCCTACATGTTCACACCTCATCGTCTACACCAGTCTGAACAGTTACTCTCCAAACATTCTGTATTTTACATTCAACCTTTACATAAAGGACACTCTACTTTCTGAACAACAGGGGCTGCGAGGGTACCTAGTGGTTAAAGCGTGGACTCGTCATGCTGAAGACCGGATTCTCTTGGGCAGAATGTGTGAAGACCATTTCTGGTGTTCCCCGCTGTGATATTGCAGGAATATTGCTAAAAGCGGCGTACTCACTCACCATACTCGCTTGGATTTCGAAACATTTGGTCAGGCAAGATGAATATTGGAATATTGCGTAAAATCACACTCACTCACACACTTCTATATAACCGTGTTCTACAATAAACATCAAACTCTGCCTTGAGCCATCCAGTCTGAGCAGGCCTTTATACATATAACATAACTTACATAACCCACATATCTGTCGAATAACACCAGCTGGTTGACTGACAGACCGTAACTACATGACAGGTAATTACTGTCGTGCGTAGTCTCGGGACAAGAGTTCACCCATAACTCTGCGAGCTGACCCTCCATCAGACTCGGGACGGACTACACACAAGGAGCAAGAAACTCTACTTGCTGAGACAAACAAGTTGATGACAGAGTACACGGACCCACACTTGGACAACACTTGATGTCAACTGCCATGTTGACACGTCCGTTCTTCTGATCCTAGCCAGCAGGAAACTTCACAGTACATTCAGATCAACACATACATCATGAAGTGCTATCACCAGCTGGTATTATTACCTTAATTTCAATTTCAAATATTTATTGAACAGGCTCTTCAATAGAAGAACAGTCTGAGTATGGCCTTACACCTATTTTGGCAATAGTCCAGCAAAAGAGTGAGTGATTATGGTTTTACGCCCCTTTTAGCAATATTTCAGTGGGGAACACCAGAAATGGGCTTCACAAATTGTACCCATGTGGGAATCGAACCTGGGTCTTCAGCGTGACAAGTGAACACTTCAACCACTAGCCTACCCCACCACCCAAAAGAGGAAAGATAGGTACAGGCATTTAATTTTATGATGTAAATGCATTTATACCTGTGCGACCTTGACCATATCCTCAGATTACACAACAAATCAAACCTGCTGCATTTACAAAATGGCAAACATCTTGCTGGACAGGTTTTAATGCAACTTGACACCTCGGTCCCTGCCACAGAGAATTGTCTTGCTCTCTTATCAACAATCTCATACCAGCAATAAAACACTGCATATACCTATACCAATCTGCTGGCAATGAACTGTGAACAGAGCCCATTTATCATACGGGTAATATGATATATATCATACTGACTGACTGACTGACTGACTGACTTACTTTGGTTTTAAGCCGCTTTTAGCAATATTCCAGCAACATCACGGCGGGGGACGCCAGAAATGGGCTTCACGCATTGTACCCATGTGGGGATTCGAACCTGCGTCTTCTGCATGACGAGCCAACGCTTTAGCCACTAGGCTACCCCATCCCCACTAAATTGGAATGATCCACTATGACCATAACAAAATATAATGCAGAATTTGAGGATAAATCAGTCAGTTCAGTCCGCTAACACAGTAACACTTTCAGATCAGATAGGGCCACAATGTATGTGTTGAATGTTTTGATAGAAAAAGATTTCTGTTATACTTCTGTGATCAAAAACCTACACTTCATCTCTGCATGGTTTAACAAAACACTTCCAAAGGATGCAATGTCACTTTCAGGAATTCCTGTTGATCAGATGTCCTTGGATCTGTCCGACACTCTGTCTACATGGAACATACTTAACATCACTCACACCTGCCAGTCCCTTACCAGAGCGATGACTAAGAGAGTAAGTTACTTAGTTTTTACAACCCTTTCTAGCATAGCTAATTTTGGGGTCAGGGGTTGCTCCACATCGGTAGATCAGAGGAATTTGAAAGCTAATGTCAAAATGGAGGAGAAGGGAGGAGATACTGATCATATCAACCCAAAGGAAAGGCAGCAGATATTGAATGTATCAACCCAAAGGAAAGGCAGCAGATATTGAATGTATCAACCTGAAGGAAAGGCAGCAGATATTGAATGTATCAACCTGAAGGAAAGGGAGCAGATATTGAATGTATCAACCTGAAGGAAAGGCAGCAGATATTGAATGTATCAACCTGAAGGAAAGGGAGCAGATATTGAATGTATCAACCTGAAGGAAAGGCAGCAGATATTGAATGTATCAACCTGAAGGGAAAGGGAGCAGATATTGAACGTATCAACCTGAAGGAAAGGGAGCAGATATTGAACGTATCAACCTGAAGGAAAGGCAGCAGATATTGAATGTATCAACCTGAAGGAAAGGGAGCAGATATTGAATGTATCAACCTGAAGGAAAGGCAGCAGATATTGAATGTATCAACCTGAAGGAAAGGGAGCAGATATTGAACGTATCAACCTGAAGGAAAGGGAGCAGATATTGAATGTATCAACCTGAAGGAAAGGCAGCAGATATTGAATGTATCAACCTGAAGGAAAGGGAGCAGATATTGAATGTATCAACCTGAAGGAAAGGCAGCAGATATTGAATGTATCAACCTGAAGGAAAGGGAGCAGATATTGAATGTATCAACCTGAAGGAAAGGGAGCAGATATTGAATGTATCAACCTGAAGGAAAGGGAGCAGATATTGAACGTATCAACCTGAAGGAAAGGGAGCAGATATTGAACGTATCAACCTGAAGGAAAGGGAGCAGATATTGAATGTATCAACCTGAAGGAAAGGGAGCAGATATTGAATGTATCAACCTGAAGGAAAGGGAGCAGATATTGAATGTATCAACCTGAAGGAAAGGCAGCAGATATTGAATGTATCAACCTGAAGGAAAGGGAGCAGATATTGAATGTATCAACCCAAAGGAAAGGCAGCAGATATTGAATGTATCAACCTGAAGGAAAGGCAGCAGATATTGAATGTATCAACCCAAAGGAAAGGCAGCAGATATTGAATGTATCAACCTGAAGGAAAGGGAGCAGATATTGAACGTATCAACCCAAAGGAAAGGCAGCAGATATTGAATGTATCAACCTGAAGGAAAGGGAGCAGATATTGAATGTATCAACCTGAAGGAAAGGGAGCAGATATTGAATGTATCAACCTGAAGGAAAGGGAGCAGATATTGAATGTATCAACCTGAAGGAAAGGGAGCAGATATTGAATGTATCAACCTGAAGGAAAGGGAGCAGATATTGAATGTATCAACCTGAAGAAAAGGGAGCAGATATTGAATGTATCAACCTGAAGGAAAGGGAGCAGATATTGAATGTATCAACCTGAAGGAAAGGGAGCAGATATTGAATGTATCAACCTGAAGGAAAGGGAGCAGATATTGAATGTATCAACCTGAAGGAAAGGGAGCAGATATTGAATGTATCAACCTGAAGGAAAGGGAGCAGATATTGAATGTATCAACCCAAATGAACACAGAC